TCCAAAAAAAAATGTTTGAGGGCCAGAAGACCTCCGCCATTATGAATGACAGTGTAAAGATATGTAATGTCCATGGTGAAAAGAACTTTGTCCTGGCCAAGAAAATTAAAGTCGCGAAAAATTTAAAGAGCGTGTTGGCTGTCCTTGATATATGATGGTAAAGTTTTGACGATGGGAGCCATAATGTTATCTAAATAGTTGGAAATAAGTTCGGTAGGGCAACTGCAAGCCGAAACAATGGGCGGACCTGGGTTGTTAGGTTTGTGAATTTTAGGTAAAAAGAAAATACACGAAGTTCTAGGAGTAGTTATGATGATATTTTTTGCCGTGGCCAGCAATTCTTGTTTAGCTATGAGTTCGTCAATCGTATTTTTGACAATGTTTTGATTAATGGAAGTAAGATCTTTGTCAACCTTTTGATAAAAAGAGGTGTCAGAAAGTTGCCGCAAAGCTTCTTTTTGGTAGAGGTCGGTCAACCAAACAACTACTTAAGAACGGATTATTCTGAATCGGAAAGTGAAAGATTTTCTGGAATGGTAACTACGGTTTTGAGGTTTTCTGGTGCTAAGCGGTTAGCAATTTGGGGACCGATAAGTTGGTCAAGTTTTTGGATCTTAATTTGGTTGAAGGGATTGAAAAGTTTCGAATTGAAAAGTTTCAATTGAAGGCAACGGTTTATCCACTAGTGTGTATTACCAACCCACAGACTCACATAGTTACTTGTTGTATTCATATTCGCATCCATCTCATGTTAAGAATTCCATTCCCTATTCTCAGTTTCTTAGACTTCGTCATTTATGCAGTGGACTCTGCTTTTTCCCACAAATCAGAGTCAACGTGCCACTTTTTCGAAAAACGTGGTTACCCTGTTTCTGTCGTTCAAAGGGGTCACCACCGCGCCCAACTTATTGATCGACAGTCAGCACTACAAACGTCAAAGAAGGAAAATTTCGACCGCATTTCATTCACTCCCACGCTTCACCCTCACAACCACTCAGTTAAATCCATTATTCTTAAAAAAACTTTAAATTACTTCAAAACGATCCAGAGGCTTGCACTATCTTTTCGCAACCTCCGCTTATTTCATTCAAACGCGACAAAAACATAGGCAATTGTTTAGTCAGAAGTTCATTCCAAACTAATGTCTAACCCGGCACTTTTAAATGCGCGCGCGGACGATGCAAAACTTGTCCTTTCATTCACAATGGTGAGAAAATATCTGGACCCAAGCGATCAATTACGATTACCGTTCACTTCACGTGCACCTCTACCAACGTAATCTATTGCAAAACTTGCACTTATTGCAAAAAGTTATACATCGGCGAAACAGGAAGACGACTAAGTGACCGATTTCGAGAACACCTTCGCGACGTAGAGAGGAATGATAAGGACGCATCAAAACCAGCCGCTAGACACTTTAATTTATCTAATCTTTTCTAAAGAACATATGGCAATCCACGGTCTTTCCTTACATTTAGGCAACACGGAAAGCCGCAAAACTCTCGAACAAAAGTTTATCTTTCAAATCGGCACTCTTAATCCCACAGGTATCAACGAATGCTTTTCATTCCACTAATTTATTCGTGTTTTTCTCTTCGCCATGTTCCCACCAATATGGCTTAGCTCCGCTTTATGAATATAAGCCCACATACAACCCACAATTCCTCCATTCGCTTTGACGAAAGGCTAACGCTCGAAACGTCAGGTTTTTTATTCGTTACTGTGGCCAATTTACAACTTCAACTTAGTTGATATAATCAAATTACCTTGTTACCCCCACCTACGCAGCACCACAGTTTCTTTAGAAACTTTCAGTGTTTATTAAGATCAAATTTACCGGATTGCCATCTTCATTCAGAGCAGCGCGGTACATAGCAGAATCTACAATAATAGTGTTGAGCAGTTGGCATATGTTTTCGTGGGAGTTTTATTAGGGTTCGCCGTCAATATATCCTACATCTTAGTTATGGGTGAACTATAGGACGATCTTTCATGGTTTTTGCTTTAGTAAATTAAGCTTGTAAATAAAGCACTTCACATCAGTTTTTTTTTTCAATTTTCAACGCTGTGATTAATCAGGCAGAATGTGCTGTAAGCTCAAATCTTAATGGTGTCTACGGCGAATATTTAGATCACATAAAAATTAAACCAATGAAAGAGTAATTAAGCATACAGGACCCAAATTAAAAGAGCAAATTAGTTTCCATCAGCGACGCGTAAAATTAAACTGTATTTCAATATATTTCTGTTGTACTGTTCAAATTTGCGTCAAATTTCCTTGTAGGCGTGATAATTACTTTCAAAATCATTTAAATTTGTTTTGAGAAACACCTTGCTAATATGTTAATTGATAGCAGTGTCAACAAACGTTTCTTGATTTTGTGATTTTTCTTTGCTTTTGCTTCTTTCATTTTCATTATTTGAATTGATAAAGCTGCGTAGAATTCTTGGGAGAAGCGCCTAATTTTGGGGGCTAAATAAAGTGGTAACAGCGCTGATCACGACCCGTGAATCAATATCCCTACCTCAATAGGATCCCCACAAGTCGCATTCCAAATACATCCCAGGCGCAATCTGCTCGAGGCGGGTTTGGAAAGATTCTGTTTAAAACATCGGTTGATCAGCTAATGAGCAGGAAAAGTTAAGCTGCGATCCGATGGTCAATCACTTTTGTAACAGAGCATGCGCAAAACACCAAACCAGCGATCGAAATCAAGAAGGAATTCCCACCCTTGGAGATGCATGTCTGATAATTAGTTTTCAGATAGTAGATAATTGAATTTTTCCCCAATAATAAAAAAAAAAAAAAGAAATATATATATATATATATATATAACAGCGAGGAAAACCACACGTGCTGTGACGGTGTTTCGGGATCTATTACAGCAAAAAATTAAACGAGACGCCACAGAGCAACCAGACTAGAACTTTGCAAAAGTAGAGTTTAATATCCCAGAAAGTAACGAAGGTTGTATATTGTTTCGTCAATAGGAACGCAACCCAGAATTTTTCTAGCCCTTTACAATAATAAAGTTATATTGAAGCTAAAACTACAATTGGACTACATAGGATTAGGTTACTAGTTTTATCAAAAAGTCTAATAAGAGATTTATCTCATTATTTTTAGTTAGAACGAATGGCTGCAAAGGAATCGCGCCTTTTCAAGATAAATCGCTGAAAAAGCAACGGCGACGTGTAACTGCTAATGAAAAGACTAAAACAGCTGGCAGCTACAGCTGTACGGTAGTTATAGTGTGATCATATATCGATTGATAAAAAGTAAATACAATAGGTACCGAAAAAAAGATACGATGATTCGACTAAAAAGTTCACACCGGATTTTGTATTTTTTAACCGGCGATAACTGATGGTCACTTTCAAATTCTCTCTTCACAAA